ATAGGTAAATCAATCGATTAATTTGGTGGAAATTTAAATCAGTTGTATGAACGAGAGTTTATTTAAACGTTACGAAATATCGCTTTACATCCCATTTCGAAGAAATCTTGCGAATCATAAGTAATAAATTCTCGCGCCGTGGCACGGTGTAATGAAAAAGTATACGACGAGTTATTATAGCATTACGTATGGCATTGTAAATATAGTAAAAAGATTGACGTAACAACTATGATCGATTATAATTATTACTATTAAATTTAGCGATATCACCGATAACATTCTGCAGAGATCTAGTTCCGTTGGCTTACGGTGCCCTTTACTAACCTACTTTTAAAAACCAAAGCAACAGTACTTTCTTCTAATTTTCCGCAAACCCGCTTCACCCAAACTTGATTTTATTACCAGCGAAATAAAAAGGAAGGAGCCTGTGCAACGATCGCTTTAAGCTTTAACAATTAAAACCAATAATTTGTATATGTTGAACACGCAAAAAGGGACGAAGCTAACCTTTCTCTGTTCTCTTTATATTTTCAACGCAGACAGGTTTCATTCTTGAAACACGTCGAAATGTAAGTAAATGCTGGAGAAAAGGCAACGTGTATTAAACAAGGAATTTCACTTGCTCCAAAAATACAGTATGTGTGTGTGTAACGTTGACTCTTGCATGAAAAGAACAATACTTTGAGTAAACTAAAATGCAAGTTAGCACTTACGCGTATTGCATTTCCCGATTTACTATCCTAGAACGCTGCAAACTATAGATTGTTTCTGTTGTTGTACACCGGAGCGTAAGTTTTGTAAATAGAGTATACGTCTAACAATTAATAATAATTGAATATTGTAAGCGAACACGACATCACATTTACGAACGAACGTACGCAAGTATACTTGGACATTGTGATATTTTAGGCTCGCTGTTGCATTTTTTTCGACAGCGACGAGCCGTGTACATGATATTGCAAGAAGAATAAGCGGTACCACGTTAGTGATCGCGAGTGACGACGAACGTCGATTATTCTAGTTACGAATTTATGGTAGTCATAGGTAAAACTTAGTGATAAATATGAAATGAACGATATGCAGTTGTCAGTGTATTACTACGAAACGTATACGATTTTTAATGTACAAAAAAAGAAAAAAAAAATAACGGTATAGCTGCGGGACGACGTCTTTTCGGAATTTCATCCTGCTGGTACGATTTGTGTTCGGGATGAAATAACCTATACTCGAACTGATCTTAGCGATTCTTTTCTTTCCTCTTCTCTTGTCGCTCGTTTGTTTTTCTCCACGGAATATTTTCTACACACCTTCCGATTTGGACGTTTTTATACATATTTAAATAAAATGAAACACTTGCGTATACAAGACATTTACAAAGTGTCTCGCGAAATTGCGTTATGTCTCTCGTTGAATAGTACGAAAGATATAATATTTATTTATCGGCTGCGTGCGTGCGTGCATAAAGCGATTTTACGAAGATCGAGTCTGTCAAAGTATCGTGCTTGCTGGCGATTGAATTAAATTGCATGAATATTTTACAACGATATGATTGATTGCGTATTTCGCGTGAACGTTCTCCTTTTTTCTTGGCCCGTACAGTTTACAAGCAATGAAATATATTTGATAGAACGTGTCGCAAAAGAATGGACTGACTTTATGCATCTTTAACACAAATCATTATCGTCAATGACCCTAATTAGTGATAAATAGAAAAATTTTAATTTTTATCGTTGTATAGTTGTGTATAGAAGACAACTAAGTGTGTAAAATAAATCATTATCAAAAAATCAGAATTCTTATATATCTTTAATAACTTTGCTGATCGAACCCTGACCAATAATCTAACAAATTTGTACTAGAATACTTAACTTTATAATACAAACACCGTTTTTATTTGAAAATATACATTTTAATATTCATGGATACATACATTACGTTCGTGGCAATAGCACATGAAAATGTTCACAGGATATAAGAGAAATATAGAGATTAACAGAAAATAGAAAAGAAGTACTAAAATACTAAAAGTACTAAAATACACAGTCTCAGGTACTAGAAAAATACTGTCTTTGTCGAACACATTTGAGTAAGTGGTAATTTGTTGATATTGATTAAATACAACATTTTTCGACATGGATATAATAATAATTATAAATTAAAATAATTATATATTTATACCGTTTTTCGTATACCTTTTTTAAAGGGATATGTCGATAATTTGTAATGTATAGTTACATAATAGTATAATTTGTAAATATATATAGTTATTGACATTTAATACGTACAACTTAAGTTTGGTCACTTTTTAGGTGTTATTTGCAAGGCCATCGTTATCAGGTATGTTATAATGTTGCGATAAATATTTTTTAAGTTAACTATGTATATAAATGTTGAACATACATTATATATATATTGATCTTTTACCCTATTTTGCATAAACAGGATATTTTGCATTTGTTATGTATTGGCTGTTAATTCTAACATTATAAAAAATAGTTTGTCACAATATCAAATATGTTCAAGATAACAATAAAATCTTTAATCTTTAAAACTTCAAATAGCACCTCGTCTCTTACATATCTTTATAGGAAAATTTCAACTCTTATTTTTACCATTTACAAAATTTATTATTATAAATTAATGTAAAAGCTAGTGTAAATATTAAACTAAATCAAATAAATCTCCTAAAAAGAAATACAAAATCTAAAATATCGGCAGTTCTTTGGAAACACGAATTGCACAGTAGTGAAAGACAATATAGATATCTATCAAATTGAATATTCGATAAAGTATAAGCGCGGTTTGGTTCGAATATTGATAACACACACATATATATCGTATTTCAATATATCTCGTTTCTCAAATATGAGAGAAACGTTTTAATACTTCTTCGAGTGTAATTATTATCTAAAACACGCATAATAATGTCTATAAAATTGAATCGAGTAGACTGTAATACACGATTATCCCTATGCTAGGGATATAGCAGATTCGAATAATCGCGCGGTTGTCTACTTTGGGCTGTCATAATTTCAGTTGGATTTAGTTAATGCGCAGTGGCGGGAGTCGGTACCGGTCAACGACAAAGTCTTAAGTAACGAATTCGATACTTTCTTAAACAATATAATAAAAACAATCACGTATACTTAACTCCGTGAGTGATAATAAGTGACCTTATGTGAAAAGGCAACAATCGTGAGGCATTAATTGGAAGATCTCGCAACTTGAACATCATAGTTCGTAAAATTAGCATCATGGAGATCCAGATTCAAATCTACATGTAAAAAGCTTAAATTGGAAGGTAAGACTGCACGTTTTTTAAAATAGAGGTACGTCGTTGAAATCATATGCTTGATACGTTAAAAATTTTAAACGCTATTAAATGATTTTCGTAAAACTATTATCCGGATATTCATCCTCCGAGGCTTCTGGTTCCCTGTTCAATTTATTAAAATCTCGCAGATTTGGTCGTTTCTCCGTTGTCTTGAAACACTTGCCTCTTCTGTTTTCCAAGAGATTTAGGAGTTTATAGTTTTCACGTCTCTCGGCCACCCAGCGTATTCGTTTTATTAACAAACATCCTGTTTATAAAAATAAACGGCATTAGAACATTTCTGGAAAATAATCGATTATTTCGTTTTACTCGCACTTGATAGTAATGGCGTCACAATCGTTTACCGTTATTTCCAAGTCTGACTTGATTTAGAATTTCAACCAAAAATGCATTATATAGATGGAGCGAAATAACATCGAAATCTAACCACTCTATATATTTTTAAGCATCGTGCACTATATACTGTCCAATACTTACACAATCTGTTGAAAGTTATTCAAGTTAAGTAGGATAATGGATAGGGGGGGGGGGGGGGGAAACGGAAA